CCGACGTCTTTCCTGAGCGTGTCGTGCTGTAGGTCCCACGGGCTCTCGACTCCATCCTTCTCCCCTGGCTGGTGTTTCGTCTCTTGTCGTTTTTCTGAGTGTCACAGGGCCAACGGCGTCCCACCAGACACCGAAATTGCGCAGGATCTCCAGGAAACACAAAAACACGACGCTCGAGGTTGGTCTGGGTCACTGGAGGTGTCGGGGTTCCCCAGAGGCGTCCGGAGGCAAAGGGTCAGATTCAAACATCTTGGCCTTCCTGTTTTCCTCGATTCTCTCTCCCACGCGGGTCTCAGGTCAAGTCGTTGGTGGTGCTGCTGAGCAGGGACCCCTTTGCCCGCGGGGGCGGGGCCGAAGCAGGATAGGAGGAAGAGGAGGACGAACGACGGGGAGGTGGAGGAGGGGAGGAAGTTTGTTGTTAGCCGAGGGACTTCGCGCGTGCGCACTCCATGACACCTTGCCTGGCAGCAGCAACAGCAGCAAACGAGGGCCGAAACGAATTCAATAGCCACTGCACAACTACATTGGACAGCGTCTAAAAGGAAGTTCTGCCTCCCACCCCGCATACCCGGAGGAGGAGGGAGGAGGAGGGGAGGGGGGGGTCGGTCGGATTTGGCATTGCAGTAGTCTGCGCGACGTCTTGCCAAAGGCTCTCACCACGACAGCCCAGGGGGGTATTCTCTCGTTCCCAGTGCCACGCTCTCCCTAGCGAAGAGAGGCCCAGCCCTGAGTCCCAGGAAGCCCAACGCACAGAAACGAGGGTGCGGCGGACGGCGCGAAGCGCTAGAAACGACAGTGCGGAAAAAGAAGGGCAACCATCAAACATACAGCCAGCCAGCCTCACCTTCTGGAGAGAACACCAGTGGAGAAGTATCACCTTGTCTGGACACAATGATTCGGTAGCCGAGCATACACATTTGGGCCCACGATCACAAGCCAGCACTAACACATATAGCCACAAATAGAAGACGGCCCAAACCTGGAAGATGTCAATGCGCCGTTTGCTCGCTACGACGCTCAAGTCTTGTTGCGCTTGACGGTCCTGAGGCAATCCCAGTGGTGCTTTCTGGTCCTCAGGAGGGCGGAGGCATGAGTAGGATGATGGTATTGGGGAAGGGGGGGAAGTGGGCGCGTGGATTACAGAGGATTCTAAAGGGTGTCCAAGGAGAGGCAGGTGGAGAGGGGGTGATGAGGGAGGAAGAGGGTTGCATAATATGCCAGGGGATTGAACAAATTGGGGCTGTAGGAGGATATTGGGACGATGGGGATGGGGATGAGAAGGGGGAGGACGACGAGGGAGTCACAGAATAGAGAGAGCAGGAAGAAGACGAGGAGGGGAGGGGGAGATGTGG